CACACACGCACACACACACACACACACACACACACACACACACACACACACACACACACACACACATACACACACACGCACACGAAATGCGTGAATCCCAGTGGGAAGAGAGAACTTAAATTATATGATATCATCAGAAATGTTACTGTAAATGCTGTCCAAAGCTACCAATGAGCATTCCTTGAGTACTCATTTATTGTACAAGAAATCGCATGTCATAATCGTTCTATATAACCGTATTCAGCGTGAACAATCGAAATAAAAAAGGCAATGAAAAGCGTGAAATCCTTCTTAAGAAGAAGGAAAATAGTTGATTCGTGTTAGACAGTCTTTGCTCGGTATCAAATGTCCGCGGTCTGCTGTCTGATCAAAGGTCTGCAGTGATAGCGGAGCCGGCTACTGGCGCGAACGCAACCATGTTCACGTACCGAACACTTCGATATCTGAAAACGTATCCTCAGTCATGGAACAAAGACGAAATGCCAAAAAAATCAAGCAGAAAACAAAAAATGTCTAATCTAATGTCTGAGCGCAAGCATCCGTAGCTCTACTGTTAATGCAGCAAATAACCCAATCATAAAATTATTCATGCATGCGAATCGTTTCCGCTACTTCGGAATCAGTAAAGGAAGATTCTACTTCAACGGTCAAGCGCCTGCTCGTCTAAGCAATAGGCGGATCTGATCAAAGCAAGACAACCTTGCGAAGAAAATCATTGAAGAGTCGTGCAGATGCTGAATCTTCGTGGGTTATGGCACACGAATCGAAATGGCTAAATCAGTCCTCCAAGAATGTATCCAACTAGTTACCATGCATGCTTACATAATAATAGATCGATTTGAAGGAACGTGGTGCACACTCCGCTCCCAAAAGTTGTAGGTCAGTGAAAGTCATATGCGTATGCAAACACCTCCGTAATTTTGAATGAAAGATAAACTCATAGTACGCACCGAAAACATTTTTAATGACATTCGAAACTACTCAAGGCTTCAGCGTCAAATGTCATTTCCAATAATAAACATGTAGGTGAGGGCGGAGGTGATGTTGCGGTAAGTGCCGCACTATCACACACGCACGGTCACTAGTTCGAATCGCGGACCAATACCTGTCTAGGCCCATGAAGTCTTTCATCCCTTCGAGGTCAGCTGGCTTGTACACCGGTAGTCCACTACAAATCATTGTATAGGCCAAATACGCATACATTACGTCCCTACGATTCTGAATGGAAGTCAAATGCGGGGGCGTGTCCCTTACATGGGATTGAGATTGATTAGCGCCCAAAAACTCTATCCTTTGTTGATCATATAAATGAAAAGAGCGAAAAGCTGTGGTAGGGGTGTGGTGCATTAGGAACGAAATGGTCGCGTAGCGGTGAGAGGGGCGTCGCGCGCGAAGGAATGTAGCAGGATGCAGCAGCAGGTAAGAAATAGAAGAACAAAAGTACTAATAGTAGAATTATGCATAAAATAATGATCGCATATAGATGAGCTGTATGAAGAACGCTAGAGCTGTAATAACGGCGAATGGGTGGTCCGCGACAGTCGCGTGCGGCGAATCGAATACCAAAAATCGTTTCTAACGCCCGTCTCCCGCGAAAAGCGTTGGTTGACCCTGTTTGCGTTTGAGCCTCGTTTACAGAAGTAGAGCAAAACGGTATGTAATGACGGTGCAGCTTCACGTTTCGGTGTGATGAATCGCCGGCGCAAAGTACTAGTGAATTGTTCACCTCCTTTCGGGACCAAGAAACCAGGAATCTTCACAAAGGTGGGCTCTCTCGGTACATTTCAAATCGTTCTCTACTAGGGTAGGTTTGTTCAAAAGACATTAACTGCTGATTGTAAGCTCAAAAGGAACTCTCACATCACCATGAACACCGGGACGTCTACAGAGTGAGCTGTTTGGATAATAGCTCCTACTTCCAGCTCAACGTCGTCAACAAGTACTCCTGACGATGAGTTGCTCTCCTCACATTCATTTTCCTCTTCTCAATCTCATTCAAATACCCAATACAACACAATCTGACATTGAGTAGTTCTGCGTATCCTGTCCAAATCGCACAATTGTTTCAGCGTATACGGTGTTCATAGTAGTGTAAGAGAAGTGAAGAAAAGTAATCGAAATTCAGTAGACTGTTGGTAGAAATTTCTGATTTCATTTTTACGTTTCCAAAAGGGACTGGGAGTGAAAAGGACGTGGGTGTAGAATAGAGTACAATATGCAGTAGCAGGTGTGTACTCTTCTACACCCACGTCCGTTTCACTCCTAGTCCCCTTTAGATTTTTCTAAACTTTCTCGGTACATCTTGAAATCCAGCAATTGACAGAAAGTATTGTAGCTTATCAAGGAGGAGCTATAATACAATTTCGTAAAAAATGAAAGTGAAATTATAAAGAACTGAATACGAACTGAAGCCAAATCGAAGGGAATTTCACACAACACTAGCTACGTTGCATTAGAACACAGAATTTTGTCAAACAAAAACTCAAAATAAAAAGAAGCTCAAGCTCAGGCAAAAACAATACGACTAATGGATAAATCATACCGGCGGGCTGCGGTGGACCGTCGTTGATCGCGATCGTAAACTGAACTTTCGAGTTTCTTGCTACTCAGTCTTTCATAATGCATGAATGCATGAGAACCTTTAGATTTTCCATTCATTAGGTTGATGCATAATTATTGCGGATTTTTTCGCGGCTTCTTTTCTCTCGATAAAATTAAACCTTTGATTCGGGATTTTTGTAAATTGATTGATATTCTGGCTTTCCTAAACAGAAATATGTCTAGAAGGTCATCTTCATATACGCCAAATTATGCTGTATTACTTCGAGAAATGTTGGAAGGCGGCTCAGTCATAACGTGATCTCAACGAACTTCTCGGCGGTGGAACAATTAGCCATAGCCGAACAAAGAATGGAATTTGCTTCTACGGCCGCCTTATTCACAAACAGAAACCCCTATGAATTATCACGTGGATTGCCAGTTGAAAAATTGGTTGACGAACAGAACTTTCAACAAAGTAGATGGCTTGATGGCCAACGTCAAGGCGTGATCACCTCCAAGAATCGAAACTTCTTCGCCTGTGGAATCCATCTGCCTAGCGATTAGGGAGCAGTGCTTTACGTAGATGTTGGATATGTTTCGGAGCAATTATTTGAACACGCCTTTGCTAAATATTTCTATCGTTTCTTCGAGTAAAATTTGCTAAAAAAAATCCGCAATAATTATGCATCAACCTAATAGATTCAGACACTAGCTAGAACATGGCTACCGCACGGAAATCTGAGAAACTCCCAATAAAAATCAGGTCGGGTACATACAGACTCGGGGTAACACCCCAAAACTGGTTGTCCCTCATATGTAATACGGAGAAGCGCTAAAGTGAACCTGGCAGTAGCTTGCGCTTTGTCAGTTCCCCATGGATGGAGACACGAATGACCCCAAAGCAAACATTCAACGAATCCAATATTACCGCACTAAACATCTCCAAATGGAAAATGAAATAATTTTCATGTTTTCGTGTAAGGCCGTCGCTCAAAGTGCATATACTTGCATCATCCGAGCAACCGAAATTTCGGAAGAGCAAATAAACGCAAGCAGCTGCTCAAGTACAGAGTGAAAGCAAACCTTCTGTTCTGGTCAGTGAGCAACTTGAATCCGGAAAAGTGAACGAACGGAAGAAATCGTGAGAAATAGCAGAATCCCTCGCGGAAGCGAGCGTTTCGAAGGAAGTACACAATTGGGTTCACCATCGAATGCATCATCGCTAAGCCGTGGGAGAACCACCTGCAACAAACTTTTGCTTGGTGGGATGTTTTTGGTAAGAAATGTTGAAAACTGAGTTTCGGTATTTTATTGACTCCACTATCTAGTCTACAGTGATAAGCTACAGTGCAGTAGCAAAGCTGAGTTGTGTCACGATCACCTCTCACTTTCACTCCTATCATTGGGATGATATCAATCTTCAGCGCTTTTCCCTATTTACTTATTTTTTTAGCTCAGCATTACTTTTAAAAATCAGAAATCCAGCCCATCGGTGGTCACCAAAATGAGAGGGTTCTGGAGAACGATTCTGTCAAGACCCCCAAGACCCCCATAGCAGTGTACTGCTGCGGTAAGCAGGCTCAGAGGTGCAATTCCTTGGGCATTAAGATTGGAAGCTGGGACGCGAGTGGCATCCTTTGGTACATATCCGCGGATTCCTCAGACTACGAGGATCACTTACAAGTACCCCACTATTGCAATTGTTCACTAAGTGAATAGAGAATGATAATGAACAGGTAACAAGTTGATTCCAAACAGAGTTATCTCTGTGATGCGCAACATCCGATTGATAAATTGATAGAATTAAAAGGGGTTTGTAAGGCAAGGGCAACAAAAAGTACGACTTGCTTAATGATATTCAAACGAGTGGACCAGTCATCCCAGTTCAGTCAGATCTTAGTAAGCCAGCGCTATGTCCAGAAAAACTGTAAGGGTTAAGCAAAATTCGATTCGGAGTTTTACTTTTGTACCATGCATGCGTTAGCAAATTCTTTCATCACTCACTCATCCTACTTCCGGCATAAAGATGTGGAGAGCGATCGCCGCGGATTCGAGGCTCAAACTGGATCTTATCCCTGTGAGATTCAGCAGCCAACGTTGGCTACAAGAGTAGCGCTTTTGCTAACAAAACGTATAGACGGGTTAAGTTTAGCTTATCATGAATAATGAAAAACACTCATGACTTCAGCCTTCACAGTACTCATGGAATGCTAATTACTGTTATCTCGAAGATAGGGAAAATCGCGCCATGCACTCTTAATTTCCCAATCGTTCTGCATTGTTTGATGTCGATAACAAATTCATTTCGGGCAAAGTGTCGGTTTCACTGTCAGCCTTGCCTCACAGACGCTTCCACCACATCTTCGAATGGTTTCTGATGGTAGAAGCAGAAAATATGCGTCCAAATAAGATAATAAGTTTACAATTCAGCAAGACACAATGAGGAAGGATTATTAATGTTAACATGAAGTTGTTGCTCACCACATGTAGAGTATAAATTTCCAACTAGCAACGCTAGGCCAGAGATCGATGACTACGTTGATCAGAAGTAGCAAAGGTAACCAACAAAAAGCGAACATTGCCGAAATAAGAATCACCATAGGGATCAGCTGAAATGAAGCGATTACTCCAACTCACTACCAAACATGCAAAAAAAACGGACCTTTTTTACACTTTCCTGTCTTTCCATCACTACTTTTTTCGTAGAGCTGGTTGGTCCAGGAATACGGCTGTTCCACATTTTCATCCCGATAAAAGTGTATGTAATAATCAACACTGTTAAGGGAACCACATACTGCAGCACAAGGATCAGGTAGGAGTAAAGGCGACGTGACTGAAATGTAGAGGATTTCGAATAAAAATAATTTCATTATCAATCAAAGAGTTTTTCTTCTGACCAAAAGAAAACTGGCCCATCAACATGTAGAGCTGAACAATTCATTTCCATGCTTTATCTGATGTCTATGTTGCATACATGGAGATAGAGCCCTTCAAACATAATCCGATCTCCCTTAGGCTGACAGTGTTTTCCAGAGAAAGCAGCGGGGTAGCGGATTTGAGTGAATGGATGAGTGAAGGAAGAAAACAGTACTCTGTGAAAAGCTAACCCTTGCAAGCATCACACTGCAGTTGAGAGGGTACATAAATGCAACTACAACTTAAAGGCAGAGTTCATGATAATTTTGAGGTACCTTTTTTAGGTTCAAAAGCGAAAATTTTGACGTAGAGGAGTACATTGGTAGCGAAGGAAGCGAGAAAATCCGCCATATCCTAGGTTTTTCAAAAGTAGTGCAAGTGAATGTTGTACGAGATCATCGTGACGGAAATGGCATGTAAGGGTATTTGGACGAGAGTTAACTCACTCCTATTGCGCAAACAGATGACTAAATCAAGCGGAAATTGCCCCGAACTGCTTTCGTTGTTGCCATGGGTTATGACAATTTGTTTGAACTTCCTTCATGCTAGTCTCTTGAGAGAGTGTAGCTTCTATAGAGCCGTTGAAACTCGTCCACTATGGGTGTGGCATCCACACGATGCAACCTCTGACCCCTTATAGTGCCCTATCCAGAACCTTTTTCGGCCTTATAACGGCAGGTATGGTATAAGGGGAATTCACATAATAGGGAAATCTCGAATTTAAATAATAGGGGAATCTCAGAAACCATTTTTATCGTGAACTGTGTTTTAAAGTTTAGAAAAGTAGAAGAGGTTGAATACAATGGACATCTTACAAAAAGAATATTGGACGTTTTTGTCTTCAAAAGTATTTCCTGTGTTTCGGTAAAGGATCAGTCTCTCTGTTTCATGCAGGGTAGCCAAAAAGCCATCATAATGGACTCATGGTCAATATGGTGGTAATCGAATATGGACCGTGCAATCCTCAACAAAGCGTAATGGTCGTCTTTGAATGACTCGTCGTATCTGACTATAACAGGGACCGCATAGATCATCACTGGATTTCTGCACAACAAGCAGGCAATATTGTATATGGAGACACAGGGCTTTACTTATCCATTCAGGCTTGATTTGAAGCATTTTTGAGGGATTTGAGCTACTGATATCATAAAGGCCTTCTACATTGAGCTCGCATCGGCAAACATTACATAATACGTCCTATCATTTCTTTCTGTAGCAATTATGCTCTGTGAACATCAATCGCGTAGCTTTTCTTGTGAGGTAAAGAGAGAGTAAAAAAGATAATGAGATAATGTGTATAATAATAGCTACTCATATAGAAAGACGGTAAACCAGCAAACTCTGCAATGGCGCGGTATCAACGCTGAGAAGAAGACGGAAGGACGGGAAACAATGCCTAGCTCACAAGAAACGATGATTCTCTGCTGCGAAATAAAACGAAAGAAAAAGTTTCGCTGGGTTTTTTTTCCAGATGGGAATAAAGATATATAGGTGTTCGACCCCAAGATGTCTTTCAGGAAGGTCTGAGCTCCTCAAATCATCCGAAAAGTTGGAAATATTCTGAGGAATTCGATCAGTGGTCTCTGTTACGGTTCACCGATCAAGTACTTGCACTACATTCCAGAGATTCCAGAGCTTTCTAGATTTCGTCGTGTATTTATAGTTTCCATCACTTAGCCTACTCGAGTTTCACCCCTATTCCCTCCTCTTGTCCAGCTGACGATTGTTTGGGAGTTTTTGAGTGTCGACTGATTTCATTAGTCCTGGACGGCATGTTTAGCGTCGGCATCAACATGTATTACTCTCGCCGATATGCTGATAAAGCCTAATCGTATTCACATAGCTGAGTCGCTTCTGAATCATGCGAATTTCATTAGAATCCACACCCTTCTGCAGTTCTTTCAGGCACCGTAGAGTAGCGAGAAAAGAATAACCACTGTGGGATTCAGCTAGAATCTGTGATATGTACCTTAGCATGATTCCTTACAATAGGTCATCGCAATAGCCCTGAAGGAACCATTCGAGCCCTATTCCAAGTAAGAACTTTGAAATTTTTTTGATGAAATCTTGTGCCTCCCACATTACGCCGCCTTCATAGAAGAGAGGCTATTCCTGTTCATTTTTTTGTGGATCCAACAAGAGAAATGACTCACTCCTGATATAAAAGTATCTACAGTAGACCAGTCCTCATCACATCGTTTTATGCCATCAGTTGTATGTATTTTTGAAACCAGAAAAAGCGGCAGTGCCATAGTTATACTGAAAGTTCTCTATTAAAATGCAGCGGAGATGCAGGAGAGGGCGTAAATTACCTGAAAGCCCATGTTGCCAGCACAAGATAGACAGCTCGCCTCCGGGTAAGGCGCATACTCGGTGACAGCACAAACATGATTGCCATCCAGCGATCGAAGCTGCAATTGGTTCACTTTGGGGAAACTCCCATAAAGCCCATCCTGGAAGGACTCACCTGATTACAACCAGCGTCCAGGAACTAAGGAATACGGCGATTCCTTGAAAAAACGATAGAAGGCTACACATTGCCGAACCGAACACCCATCGCTGATCGTCGAATATCAGTACTTGCCAATAGGAAAACGGAATGCAAAAGACGGCAATTAGAAGATCGGCTGAAACTTCTCTTTTCAATTCTTCAAAGTACTATTAGGGCGGATTCCCCACAGGACCCGAAATTATACCTCGCTAGATTAACAAGGGCTTTCACACTACCTTGGTCGACAATCCAGGGACTAAAAAACCCAAAACTGGAGCCAGAACATGGACGTATAGGAAGGCTTTAAAACTCGCTAAGTCCACTGGGGTACGGCTAGTACTAAAATTTAGTCTGAAAACTCGACCTCGAACTAAACACTGTCTGGAAATCGGGAAAAACAATGGCAGCAAGTAGCAGGCCCTCGTAAGTTATAAGAAAAACCTCTTCTCACGACCGATCGAGAATTTTACTTACTACTTTTACTCTTACTTTTTCTTTTTCTTCTATATTCCCTCGAGTCGGAAGTACACAAGAAGTCGGCAGCCTACATTATTCTGTTTATCACGAGATGTCGCTCCTCTTTCTGCGGCGATCAGTTGTGACGCATATGTTTTTCGGGAGCTGCAGATTCCCAGGGACTTAATAAGCTCAATGGTGTTAGAAGCAGCGCCTACAACCTCTTATCTAAATTAAAATGGATTTCCTAATTTTCTGCTGACATACAGAAGTTATCCACCCCGGAATCGAACAAATTATTTTATCTTACAACTTTCAAATATATAAACTTTTAATTCACAGTTTACTTCCAATTAATAAAGAATGTAGATTCTGAAAAAGAAAAAGAGAAGGAGTAGGGTTCAAGTGAAAGGAAACTACCACGATTCAGGAATTCAGAAGTCTTGCTTTCACAGACTGGACACATCACTTCCAATTACTTGTTGGCACCCACACCCGATCCTGACTGCTCTGCTCTTCATCTCGAGTACTATGCCTCGCTAATCATAAGATTGGTATAAAATTTATGTGTTGCTTGTGTGTTTCGGATTACAGTCACCTCTCACCGCCATAGAGATAATACTTCAAGTTAAATAAAATTCAGTTTGTGCAGTACTTGGGTAAGTTGTGTGTGAAGTTTGGGGCTGGGAGGGTCCACTCATCAAGGTTCTTCTCTCGACAAGAAGCTCAAGGAGGAAACAGATCTGCCTCCGACTACGGGAGCGCATTTTCGTATATCGGCCTAGTTCTTGGATACTACTGAATCCCAAAGGTACGAACGCCTCAGCACTTTTGAATACATTCGAGTATTCCAGCAAATTCCTCTTACCTAAGCCTACTCACAATTTTGATTTTTAGTGTTAACTTCAGCAGCGACTCGGTTTCTCAGCCCACTAAGCAGATTTAATCTTTCCCACCGATCTAGTTCGTTACTATTCGAATAGAAAATGCAAGAATTGGGACGATTCGGGGGTTCTTTCAAACTGATTTATGATCACATTTGACAGCACGTGACTACGTAAACAATATAATTGAATGTGTACGCACGTAAGGTGTATCAACTGAATATTGTGTAAACATATTGCTTAGACAGCCTCTTACATCTTTTCTTCTTTTCGTCATCACCTTTCCACCGCAGCATCTGAGTTATGGCAAGCATAGCAGTTGAAAATGAAAGGGGATGCATAGACCAGGCAGGAGAGAAAGGAAGTGCTGAGGAAGCGTAAACTCCTGGCTGGAGCTCACCGCATATCTCATACCCCTTTGGGAACTTCGCAAAACGACAGTCAGCAAACAAAAACGAACCAAAACCGAAGCCTATTCTCAATAGTACAAGGTCTGCTTGCTTATTCACAACCTCAGATTTCCACCGTCCTGCAACACGAGCACTTTTCGGAACGGACTGATGACTGACTCTGAGCTGCAAAGCCTTCTGGACAGATTATGAATGAACGTGGTAACAGGAAGGTCCAGGATGAAGAATTCTTAGTTTCTTGATGTGCACCCATGATACATATTCCCGGAAAAGTGGACTTTATTCCCGAATGTAGGCTGAGATATGTAAGTAGCGTTCCGGACAGCCATCTATTACTCATGGACTCCCTTGTTCCGTCTTTCGTCAAGCTTTGTCAATAGAGCTTCTTTTGTTAGGTGAGTGCAGAATAATTACGTAGTTTTTTGATCGTTGAATAATGTTTTTGTAAGCTCCCAGCACTCCATCAAGTATAATTGAAGGAGAGCCGAGGCTCATTTATTACAAGTATGTACCCTTATTCATTCACCTAGGCATATTCAAACATTTTTGTTTTTCATATCAAACCGAAAGGCATAAAGACCGACATGACTGCAGAATAAAACACCTGGTCAAATGCAATGCCCATCCTCATCAGTTTGAGAAAAAAGGATTCGGAAGAAGAGGTTTCCCAGATCTCCTTCGGGAGACAAATATGAGCAAACGCTACCCGATTGACCATGGGAAAGGTGTGATTTGAATCCCAGTGGATTGGAGTGGAAACTGCGGAATTCTAGAAGCTCCGGACACTTGGTCCAATTGAAATCTCGGATGTTTTCACCAATAGCACCCATCCCTGTACTAACATTACTAAAGACCTCATTAATGATGATCGGTAAGTGCTTCCCAACGTGAAATCACGTATTCGAAAGCGGAAGTTATTAGGCTCAAGGGCGCTGTTAATCCGAGACAACAAGAATGCTTGGCTTCCACGTCTTCCCCAGCTCACGGTCTTCATCTCAATCTCGCGAATCATCCCAAAGATTTGTTTAATTTCCTTTGAGAACACGTAAATCTCGCGCGTGGTTACGAATTTCTAGAAATCCGATCTACCCCTGGGAAACCTCATTTATGCGGGCGGGTGACTTATTATTTGAATGAAATCATTCGTTCCGCACTATTGCCAAGCAGACCGATAGAAATCACCAAGTGCTGTAAAAAAGAAAAAGAAAACTTGTCTACCACGAATGGCAAGGCTAGACGGTAAGGGAACGTTCTTTGTTCGTCCTTTCCTCCTAGGCTGGAGCTTTACGAACGATCAGGTAAAACAGAAGCTGTTCACAATAAAGCATTTGAAACATAGTTGTGAAGTGAATGAGCAAATCAAGTAATCGAAGGAAAAACTGAACATCCGAATAGATCTTGCTTGTTCTTAGGCAACGATCCCTGCTACTTTTTTCCTATAGTTAAGATCCTTATCAAAGTATGGCAACTTATATTAATTTCAAGAGGAAACTTTTCCAAGAAAGGATATATGAATTGGTAGCCATAGAAACAAGTTTCCAATCTTTCCCAGAGAGAAGGAGCTAGTCAGAAACTGCTGTGAAGAAGAGAAGTTAGTGGAAAGTCTGGGTCAACGTAATATGTTCATATCCCACATTTATAACAGCAAACCTCTTGGAATTCCCAGAACGGGTTCCTGGTAGTGTGAAAAAAGAGGGATCCTTGTCAGCACTTCCAGTACTGCCAGTTGACCCTCCAGAATCTCAAAAAAGTCTCTTACCTATTGCCAAATTGAAAATCAAAATGTTCGTGGCAGTTCGAAGCCGTCGAAAGTACAGAATTACTAGAATTACCAAGAAGTTGCCGTACACAGAACAAACACATAGAACATTGTAGAAACAAATGCATAAAACCTGGAAATAAAAGTTTTTTTGTGAAGGATTAGACACATCAGCTCAAAACTCACTGTCATAAGGCATACCTTCATGAAAGGACTAAGTTGATAAGCCTCCGATACCTCCTCGTAGTCATACGGCTGCGAGTCATTCATTCTGGAATAAACTTCAATTCACCGGATGTGATAGATTTGTGCTAGTAGACGGAAGAAAACATAGAACGGAAGAGATCCAAAGACGGAATGTAATAGTAGTTGGAAAAAATTGGAGGAGGAAGTGGAAAATAAGGAGAATTGATCCGACGGCATGGATGTTGATGTGGACATACAAAGGAACGACGTCAGCACTGATGCTACAGAGAACTGCACTTTCCAGTCCATAGCATTTGTCAAAGATGAAATATTCAATTTAATTTAATGCTCTTCCTGCTACTGGCCGCCACGGACCATGAACTCTCACGACGTAGTCAGTGGAGACCCACTCGAAGGAAGCCAATCGACTGATTGAGACATGCCTACCTCAGTTCTTCTACATCCATGTTGTCATCGTGCGTGGGAACATGGNGAGAGAAAAATTAAACATGGCGTTCGAGAGGAAAACGATTAAGGGAATTCAACGAAGGGAAAGGGCAAGAGTCGCGACGGTAGTTGCCCCTTGGATGTGGAGGACATAGGATTTCCGGATAGAATAGTACGCTACCCGTGAATATGTACTTGGCTAGTACTCTGAGAAGGTGGAAACCTCAGTGAGTCTGGTATGGATTCAATCGATTTTCCACGAGAACTGTGGGGACATTAACGGAGGAAATCAATACATAATGTTAGGGTATTCGGAAAGTATCGGTTAGGTTTTCACAATAGGTTTTTATCGGCATTATTGTGGGAAATTCCATTGAAGTCATAGAAATACTCCCAGAGGGCACCACCCCCTTGTGTGCTCTCAACTCATGCAGACGCCACTTCATGATATCTGAGTCGATTGACCAGATCTAGCCCTATCCTCAACCTTCTCGTTTCCGGCTTTAAATCGATGAAACGACGTGTGCACAGAATCGCTAAGAAGAGGCTTCAAGCAGCCTGACACATTCCGATGGGCTTCAAGGAAGTGGCCGAATCCGGAAAAGAAGTGCATGCCAATCATGAGGAAACAGTTGGGGCAATAGGGTTAAGAAGCGAAGAAGAGGTAGCCGGAGATGCTATGCGCATAACCACAAACGTAGTGCCTTTGGATACTTATCCCATAGAAACTTCCAGAATCTTCTAGAAAAAAATTGGAAGAGTTATTGACATTGAAATATTACCAAATTGTGTTAAATAATTGCAAAAGCAAAAGACAGGTGCTTCTCAGAAGAGCTTATGGGTGAGGTAGGCAACCTCCGCTGGTCTTTGGGCTCAATGAAACCATTGAAGACATTATTCACTGAAGCTTTCCACAGATTTCGAAAAGACAGCGAAAAGACTGGTCTGTTTGGACGATTCGGAAGCTCCCACTGTATTGACTTGATGTTTTGTTAACTGCCCGTCCGAGGCTGAAGTTTTGTCCACAAATCGCCAACCTTGTGAGGCTCCCACTGTAATTTTTCATCGACAGAAAGTATAGAATGATTGAAAGTGGCATAATGATCGATAAGCGAAGGCAAATATGCACCTTCAAGGTGTAAGGGGCCGGCCGCGGTTACCTAACAAGCAGTCTGTTGTGGAAGGGCTTATCGCCAGTGAAATCTTGCTTATCTCAGGAAGTATCTTGTAATAATAAAACAATTGCAACTGAGAGAATGGTATTTATTGGAGTTGATAAGCAAGGCAGTTCAGTTGTCGAACTGTCCATTTGCATCATAATCAGTGGAGATTATTTTAATCAAAACAAACTGCGCCGTCCGACGTCCATGCGTTGAATAACCAAAAAATGTGCAAATCGATTGATCCCACCCCGAATCCAAGTTGGGAAGGTAGAAGATCAGAGAAGGGAATTCTCTCAATTTCCCACTAGTCTCACGGGAAAGCCCACTACTTCTTCAAAGACCTAAGAAAGCATTCCTATCCACAGATAATCTTTAGGGGTCGGGAGGGATTAATCAGCTTCAGCTCATCCAGAAATGTGATAACGAATGATCGTGGTGGATAGATACGTGGCTATTACTTGAGTAGTGTAGGTGACCTTTTTGGGCGGGAAATCGCAATGGGAGGTCCATTAAATGAAAGTATTTATCTGCACTTCAAAATGATACGTTCCACTTGGATAACAGCTCAAGTGAGGTTTAAATTCTAGGTTTGCGAAGTGGGGGCTCGAGTAGACCGGAATAACCAAGCCGGCGACTGACTGAAATCTATTCCCCATTCCAAGAAATGGGCCAGTTTACACCCTTCACTAATCCTCTACCTCTCCCAAGCATTTCACTATTGCTTAGTTCAACAGTCCATCTCTGTTCCTTCATGATGGGCTTCTCTATCACAGCCTGGATTTATCTTGAATCAAACTATTTCAGAAAAAAAAACATACATTGAAAAGGGAAGACGATGATCTTGTGGCTAGTATGGGGCATCGCTTGAAGTCATACATTTTTATATGAGAATATATTTTGAAAAAAAAGGATATCACTTGTGTAACAACCCTTTAATACCATCGGTAGGATAGCCCAGAACTCAAAAGTGAGAAAAATGACTCTTGGAGCTTGGAGCAGTAAGGTGACGGGGTGGGAGGTCCTATAGAATGAAGCATGTTGTAGGAATAATCCTACTCCGAGCAATTGATCCGTCTAAGCTGCTAGGAGCTGCTATACCATGTTCCTCTGCTGTAAATGTCATATGCAAGGAAAGAGCTCTTATGTCCCATCAATTCCGTTCATATACATATAAGGAATAGCCAGCGGCGAATTTCCTACTGCGCGATCCTCCATCAGGGGCGGTCTGTTGTTTGCTAATTCCAGGTTTGCAAGGATATCAGATTCGTATAGTGTTATTTACGCACCAGAATGAGGAGCAACCTTCACCAACTCTTTTCGTTACAAAAAAAAAAAACTAAGTCCGGGTTATTCAGGTGATATGAAGTTTCTTCTTCAGCAGCCTCTCATAAAGGCAACCTGCGAAATTCTTGAAAAACAGCAATCTCAAGCCTCACAAAAAAAGTGAGTGCTAAAAGTAGTAAACATCATCAACAAAAGCATGACGTTTAGGGTCGGAAAGAAGTTTTGTTCAAACAGTGCAACACATGAGTTCCACGTTGAAAATGATGTTTTTGGGCCCACGTCAATCTTCAATATGTCGAAATTAGCTTGGAAAATTCCTCTATCTCGCAACTCAATTAAAACTACACAATGGATAAGAATTTTTTTCCAACACACGGTGGCAGGTGCAATACGACATTTCGTTCGGCACCGTCCTCCTAGATCAGTCTGCTGATGAAAGGCATTCTGTGGTCTTCCCCAGAATGCTGAGCTGGTACCCAGAGAGCTTTCACAAAACTGTTAGCAATGAGATTCATTTGGAAAACAGGATGCGATGCTTCAGTCAGTGCAGCACCTCAGCGATTCGATAAGCAGAAACCCTATGTCCATGGAAAAGGTTTCCCTGTAGGCGACGTTCAATCCCTTCGGATCTGAAATCCATTTGGTTCCTCAAAAGCTCAACTTCAACTGCTTCTTACAATTAGAGGATTACCACATCTGACCGGTGTCTCCAACAGAAATCATCAAAAGAATGGCAAGAATCATCTTTAACCGATAACCCGAGGACTGTGTCCGAGAAGTGCCTTGCTCCCAAAAGCATGAATAATCTCTTTACAAGCAAATCCTTCAAACCCTTTTATCAGCTTGACGATGGTTCGGTTGATAACAACAGAATAGTGTAAAAACAATGGCGGAAAAGAGAGTAAAAACTCAAGAAACAAACAATATCGTACATTCAGAACGCCTTTGTGCTAATATTTTTTGGAAGGTGAAATAGCGTTTACCAAAGCTTTTCAGGGGTCACTAGCAAAGCCTCAAGGGAAGCAGGAGCCGCTGCCGCTCACTAGTGGGAAGATGATACGATTATGAGGAAAAGAAGCGGGGACAAGAACGATGAGGAACGACAATGAGCCGTAAAATCGGCTTGGTCGAAGCCAAACTAATTGGACAAATCATAGAATGAAGCTCAAAGTAAAAAGGAGTGATGTAAAGGATAAAGGATAAAGTTTTTGGCGCTAATCAATCCCTCCTGAGGGATGCGCCCCCGCACTCGACTTCCATTCATAATCGTAGTGGCGTAATGAGTGAGTATGTGGCCTATACAATGACTTGCGGTGGCCAGCTGATGTACAAGTCAGTGCTTTTTTATCCTCCCAGACAAGTCTGGTTCCAATTCATCGACCCCGGAGGGATGCAAGGCTTGGCCTAGGCAGATATTGATCCGGGATTCCAACCCGTGACCATGCGTGTGCCAAGTGCGCCACATGCCGCTACACCACCTCCGCCCAAAAAGGAGTGATATCTGGAAAAAATATTGTGAATTCCTGGTACCGGATTGTGGAAAACCAAAGATGACATGATCTACAGCGCGATGGATGCTTTTCATCTCGTTCAGTTTATTTATTTATTTATTTACTCATCTGAGTGCGCCAATAGAGGGACTTGAGGCTAGGTGTACAACTACAGGATAATCTAACCAAGACCAAGATAAAACGAGCTGAGCTGAGCCAGCAGTGACGACTCGCTGAATACCAGCATCCGATCCAGGGTAAAGGTGTAAAAGAAATCATATACGAAAACTGGGCCACACATGCTACAATAGCTGAACTGACAGCCTTGAAGAGAAGAATCCAAATAGCCAGTTATTTACATTACGAAAATGAAACAGTTCAAAACCTATAGAACCAATTCCAGAAGGATTCCGAATTCCAAGCTGAACCTTCCTTTCGAGATATAAAGCCTCGAAAGTGTTAATGCATTTATTTTTAATCCAGTCGTAAGGAAAGTTAACATGCAAGTCCACATAGATGGGAAATGGGCAAAACCGCGACCACTAAGCAATAAAAGGTATGAACACGAACTAAAATTTGCGTTTATTAGAGACCCACAGCGCAACA